CCAGTGCGGCTGTGGTGGCCGTTTCAGTGCAAAGTTGGGCCTTTTCAGGTTTGATCCTGTGTAGAGTATATGTGTTTATCATGGGATGGCAACCCAGGTAAAGCATTGGAAAGCTGTTTTTTGTCTTGGCTTAGGCTCTTATTCTTGTTAATTCCAAAAGGAGTTTAAAAACTTTTAGCAGCCTGACATGAAAACTGAGCTCTGTTTTCCATGGCAAGGCCATGGAAAATATGCTTTGGTGTATTTTTTTTTAATAAATTGTGTCAGATATGTTGAAAACTATATTGTAGCCATTGTCTGTGAGAAATACAGCCTCTTGCAGAGTCCAGATGCTGTGGCCACATGTAAGCGATTAGTGGATAATGCTTTTCATTTTCAAAAGTTCATGAAAAAACTTCAGTTTTTCAGTAGTTCCTGTTGTAGACTAAGTCCCTGCAGGGCAGTTTAGAGCTTTGATCCCACAAATGTTTGTATATCTAATTTACCTTTCATAGGTACTTCCTCTGAATTCAGTGGCAGTACTCTTGCAGATGATGTAACTTGAGGAAAAGTAGGTAAGAGTGCAGAAACATAATGGCTGTACACAACATCATAGTTATCAATAGTTTTTTAAATGAATGCTTCATCTCGAAGACTTTGTTCAAATAGCTTCAGACTACTGAGTAAAGGAAGTGACCGTCTAATCTGCACTTGCAATTTTAAAAACCTAGTGTTTACAACTTTACTTGGCCTGTGTCATGCCTTTGTATGTATTCCTTTTCTCTCATGCCGAGTGATGAATACGCAGGCTTCTGTGAGATCTTTAGTAATAAAAACAAATTCAGAAATAGTTTTAGTGTCTAATCATGCCTGCTTTTACGAATGAGCAATGGACATGTCCAGAAGGGTCTAACAGTTAAGAGAGACCAACTCTGAAGTGTGAGTAGCCCACACAGGGTGGTTAAGGAACTGAACTTGAGGTTTCAAGTTACGGATCTTCCTAGGTGGGTTTAAATCCTACTAACTATTGGGTAATGGGCTGAGAATCCTGGGGAATGAAGGTCTCTTACAGCATTTCCACGATTCCCTGTGTCAGTAGGGTTAGAACGGCTTTTCTTTGGGTTTTTCAACACCAAAAGAAATTAAGGTGCAAAAGTTAAAAAAAAAAAAAAAGTTACATAAATAACCTGGAAAAAGATAAAATCTGCAGTGGTGCAGGTGCAGGCTTTGAGCAGGGAATATGCATCATCATCTGTGCTACCTATGATAACCTTCTGTATATTTGTTAAGCACCAGCCGTGTGCGTGTGATGTGTAGGCAAAAGTATAATATTGTCTTCCCTGTGGAGCTTGAAATCTAAACTTTTTGCTTAGTTCTTATTTTGCTCTAATTGGCTCACTCATGCTGAGTTCTTAGTTCTCACATATTTTATGGCTAGCTCTTTTCCAAAGCTGTAAGAGAACAGATGTAAGACCTGTGAGGGCTGAAGTCTTAGCAATGCTGTTATACCAGCTGTGTAACTGTTATCTTTGTGTAAGGATTAAATTGTCATCTTATGTTCAGTGCTGGCAAAAGCTGGGTATGTGACAGAGATGGTGACAGCGGATTTAATGTCTGAGTGGCAGTTACTTTGAATATCACTCATGTGCCACACATCAGACAAGTCAGCATGTTAGTGGTAGCGATTGGAATCAGTCTGAGTAGTCAGCTGCCATTACATTACCATTCTTTCTGCATCTTGCCTACTGTCACCCAGCATGTCTTACTGCACTATAAAACAACTTCCTCTCCAAAAGTGGGTTTTAGCTAATTCATTCCATGTGACAACATGGATCTGTCTCCCCTTCTTGCTGAAGGACATGATTCCAATCTTTATCAGCCATCTTTCACAGGTGGAATTCAGTCCTTATGTGAAATTTCCTGTTCCTGAGGAGAGACTGTATTTGGCTGACCATAGAGCTCTTTCAGAAGAGCTCTGACAATTATTTGGGGAGACATTACAAGTTATCACCTCTAAGGCAGGGGGGGCAGCAAAGGAGGACATGCTGTGGCTCCTCACAACTGTAGTTCACAAATCAGCCTGTTATCTGAAACCACCATCCATTTCAGTTTAAGTTAATATGTCAGGCTGTAAATTACAGCAGCTGAGCAGCCAGCACACATTTGCTTCCGCTGTCTCTCCTCCATGGTGGCCTTTTCTGGCAAAGAAGCAGAGTGGACAGCTGGAGGTGGTAGCTTCTAAAGCTACTCCAGCATGCATTGCCAGAGCTTGTCATCTGCGCGCAGTGAGAACTCCAGCAAAAGTTGTTGCATGGCTTTACAATTTCCTCATTGATGAAGTAGCACAGTCCAGAAAAATGATACTGGCACAGCTCAGGTTAATGAGGGAACATCATTTAGGTTCTTGCATTAGCAGGGAACCTCAAGGCTTCTCCCCTCTTGTCTCTATGCTATTGGTATAAACAACTTCACTACCTCTGAAAACAGTTTCTGGTAAGGAGTCCTACCCTGCTAAGAGACATGTCAGGGTCACAAAGTACAGAAAACAGCCATGCATTTTTGTGAACATTTTTAGCATTATTTTTTAAAGACCACACAGCTCAAATGTTTTCAGAAGGACTCTGGATGTTATAGGCACCTAAGATTCAAGCCTGAGATCTGGAAAGAGGCTTGTTTCCAGTCTGTCTGCAGAATTTGCCCTTGCGCTCCCATTTTTTTGAGGGATGATTTACATGCAGGTAGACTAGGACAAACAGTGGGGTTAGTATTGTTGACTTCCTTGCCGCCCCCTGAAGACAAAATAGCTATTTTTATTAAAGTATGACTCAGCGCTTGAGGTCTAAACCCCATTACGTTGAAAGCTGTAAGTTTTAAAGGAAGGTGTTTATTTTTGCAGGCTCCCTCTACGTTATCAGAATAAAACAGGATTATTGGTTGCAATTATTTCTGCCTGATCTGTGCCTTCTGTACTATGTCCAGTAACAGAAATAGTCATCTGCATACGTTTTATGATTCAAACACTAGAGGACACCAGTCTGCAGATCTTGTGCTAAAGAAATCAAATGGATTACTTAGTGATCACACCCGTAGTTGAGAAGGGCACAGTGTGATTACTTATCGTTTCTATTCTTGGTCCTGTTGTTGTTGTTATTGTTCTAGTATTATTTGATTTAGCTGAATCTCTGTTTAGCCTTCTTCCTCTGATTGGAGAGGCAAATGCTGTTACTTAATCCTCCTTCTAAACCTTTGCTTGTAACTACTAAGTGGAGCTATTTATAACCCAGGCAAGACTGAATGGCCTGTGATAATGGTGACTCAGGCCTGTAAGTCTTTATAATTAGAGTCAGAAGTAGTGGTGCCATGTCATGCTTTTATGCTTACACAAAAGGGCTGAGAATCTTTAATGATTGCGCATTAGCTTCCTTGTTTTTCCTCTTTACTTCCAAACTTAAATGCAATGGACACTTAAACCTTTCACATACCAGGCAGTGTAAAAATCTCTTATCTAGAATTAATTCCCACTCAGTTTCCTCATGTTAACACTTCAGAGGGCCCAGGCTGAAGCAAGCAACTTACTGCTGCTGGTATTTTAAGCGCCCCACTCGCTGGACGTGCAAAGGTAGATAGCCTAGAGCGTGAGCCTCAGCTGGGCCACAGCAGTGCTCATCACAGCCCTAAGGCTCTCTGGGGCTTCTCCAGCCCCTGGCACTACTTCTGAACAGCCTCAGAATGACTCTTATTTCATAGCTCCCAGTGATGATGGGGAATAGAAATGAGACCTCCATCTCCTTAAAATTGGCAGCTTGAGAATTATGGCTGAGGTTTTTTGAGTAATGCTCAATATGCATCTCCTTAGTGATGGGTTGATCCTGTGAGGTCCTATTA